TCTCCCAACATCTGCCGCCTGAAAGGTCCTGCAACTGGAAATGCCAGCGACTTGACCTGGTGCTCTAACACAGACCTGAAGTCCCCAAAGGAGCAGGGGGTGATTGAGCGGGAAGGCAACATCCTGATTAGAAATAAAAACTGAACACGGGTTCTTTGGTGTTGCCAAGTTTAGCGTCCAAGTCACACAAACACAGGTGCCGCCTGATCCGATCCAGAGTGAGTTGCCCATTTCTGCACAGGATCGAACTCTTAGATAACCGCATGACAATGAGGATCTCTTGAATGGGGGACCCTGAAATCTCAGGCAAGTTGGGAAACCTCCACATACCCAGGTCATACAGGGCAAAGGTGACAATACAATTTTTTTTGGGGGGGGGGGGTTGGGAATCAAGCATAGAGGATGCATAGGGTTTTGGGTAGCAGCCAAAAAATCCTTTATATTAAAGAGAGCCTAAGGAGAACACAGTTTTTGTTTCCCCCTGGAAGAAAACTTTCTTCCCAGAACTAGGAGACAGGATTGGGATAAATGGTATTTCATCTCAGGAGGAGGAGGAGGAGAGACAGAGAACACCATCTCCCTCTGATTTTTAGGTTCGAGTCCAGTAGCACCCTAGAAACCGGCCAAGATTTCCAGGGTATAAACTTCCAAGAGCCAACCCTTCCCTTTGTCAGACATGAGTAGGAATGGAAATCTCGGAGTCTCGTTGCCCTAGTCAGAAGATGGGAGGGTTGTTGTACAGAGTGCTTGCAAAGGATGCAGAGGTACCATTCCATATTTTATGCAGCTTTATTAGAGCAGAGGAGAAATGCTGGGGGTGGGGATGGGAGAAAATTAGCATCTGTAGTGAGATCAGAATCCTGTGTCCCTATTTAGCCCTGGGAGGGGTCCATTGTTCTGAACGGGTAAAGGAACCCCAACAATCTCACATTGTCATTTCCTCTGGAAGTTTGTCTGAGGCCTTTACAAGCATTCCTTGCAATGCCCCTCCCACCTTCAGAGTGGGATGCAAAGACTCAGAGGTCTCCATTCCAACTAGCATCTGACAAAGGGAAGCATTGACTCTCGAACGCTTATCTCTTGAAAATCTTTTTTTTTTGTATTTTTTGGGGGGGTTGGTGTATGTGTGTGTACGTGTCACATTGACCTCTGGTGACTGACCCCTACTGGGGGCCTGAAGGATATTCAGAGAGGTGGCTGAATACAGCCTGCCCCCACCTCCCGACTGCTGGTATTCCAAGGAGGTCTCCCATCCAAGTACTTGCCAGAGTCGACCCTGCTTAGCTTCCGAGATCTGACGAGATCGGGCTTGCCTGGGCTATCCAGGTCAGGCTTGTTGGTCTCTGAGGTGTGACTGGACTTGAATATACATGTTCTACTGCAGACCATCACATATCTCATTAATACTGCAATCCTCCATACGCATGCATGAAATTCATTAGAGATTTAATTCAGAGTAAGCATGCATGACTTGGGCTGAAGGCCAGCAGTACATTCACTTGGGGACACTCTTGATTCTTTTAATTGTCTGGCCCTGTGGTAAGGTAGGCGGCCTAAACTCAGCTTATCTGATGTCCTGCTGTCAGAGCCAATAATGATTTTTTAAAAAACCTTTTTTGCACAGTAATGTGTTTCGGGGAAAACATTCTCTGGAGAAACCTGCAAGCACTGACACCCGGCCTACGGGAAAAACATCTGTTGGAAGCCAGTCTTGCTGTTCACCCAAAGACCTCCGAGCAGTCAGAGAGCAGCCAAACCGGAGGATGGTTTCACAGCTGAAAGAACCTACAATTACCCCCTTCCGCCTACAGACAGATCCTACGTGCCAACAAATGGACAAAAACTAAGCCCTTAAGTAGAAAAGAGCAAGAGGCCAGGAGCACCTTAAAGTCTAACAAAACGTGTGGCAGGGTACGAGCTTTCGTGAGCCATTGCTTACTTCTTCAGATACAGCTAGAATGGGAGTCCCTCAGTGCTATTTATTGAAAAGTGGAGTGATTTCAGATGTCGAATGACATTAGCAGGCAAATGACAGTAGCAGGCGAATAACAATAGCAAGCATGATTGGATTAGGTGAGATATGAGGAGAGGTAACAGGCGTGCAGAAATCAGCACTGGTAATGAGACAGGAAACCTACGTCTCGAATCAATCCAGGTGGATGCATTGTCATGAGCTTCATTATCAATTATTATCAGACTGCTGAATTGCAATTGATAGTGAAGCTCAAGACAATGCACCCACCTGGATTGAATCGAAACCTAGGTTTCCTGTCTCATTACCGCTGATCTCGCCACGCCTATGACCCCTCTGCATATCTCACCTAAATCCAATCACGCCGGCTATTGCTGTTTGCCTGCTAATGTCATTTGACATCTGAAATCACTCCACTTTCCAATAAACAGGACAGATGGACTCCCATTCTAGCTGTATCTGAAGAAGTGAGCAGGGACTCACGAAAGCTCCTGTCCTGCCACACATTTTGTTAGTCTTTAAGGTGCTCCTGGGTTCTTTTCTACTGCTACAGGCAGACCAACACGGCAACCCATCTTGATCTAAGCCCTTAACTGGGAGACGAAACTTCAGTGGCCACAAGCATTTGTTTTAGAACACCTATTCCTCCGACCTGCCCCCCACCTCTCCAAAGCTCAATGGAGTTAAAAGGTTTTCTTCCAGGGATGAAGACGGAGGCCTTTGGAAGACTACCCCCTCAAGATTATGCATGGGATAGAGTGGGTAGAGAAAGAAGTACTTTTCTCCCTTTCTCACAATACAAGAGCTCGTGGGCACTCAATGAAATTGCTGAGCAGTCGGGTTAGAACAGATAAAAGGAAGTAGTTCTTCACCCAAAGAGTGATTCACACGTGGAATTCACTGCCACAGGAGGAGGTGGTGGCGGCTACAAGCATGGAAGGCTTCAAGAGGGAATTAGATAAACATATGGAGCAGAGGTCCACCAGTGGCTATTAGCTACAAGGTATAGATAGGAGCTCTCAGTCTGGGGCCAGTGATGCTCTGTCTTCTTGGTGCTTGGGGGGGGGGACGACAGTGGGAGGGGCTTCTAGGGTCCTGGCCTCACTGCTGGACCTCCTGATGGCACCTGGTATTTCTGGTCGCTGGGTGACTGAGTGTTGGACTGGATGGGCCATTGGCCTGATCCAACATTGGCTTCTCTTATGTTCTTATGGAATACAGCGATGGTGATCCAGCTAGAGATTCTGTGCTGAAGCCCAGCTCTAGACGACAGACACACTTGTTCTTCTGGGAGGCAGGCAGGGATCATGTCAGGCCACCTTCTGCCCTTTCCCAGAAGATCGAGGATCACGATTTGTGCCACCAGGTCGGCTCAGGGCAACTCTGATCGCTGAGGGGTTTAGTCGACCAAGTCAGTCAAGCAGCTGCCATGCCCTGCACTCACAAAACCTTTGTGGAACTCCTCTCCCTGTGAGGAGCAAGTGCTAAGCTTCTTCGTCAAGAACAAGGAAGGGACCACTGGTCTCTGGGAGAAGAACCCACATCGGGATTTGTGGAGAGGTGACAGATCGTGAAGAGGACCAATGCTAGACAGAGACTGAAAGCAAAGGCTTGGACGCCAAACCAATCTTCTTCAGCACCTAACCAAAACACAGCTTCTAACACAGCGAGTGACTGAGAAAACAGCGGACAGAATCATAGAGTGGGGAGGCACCACAGAGGCCATCTAGTCCAACCCCCAGTTCAATACAGGATCAGCCTAAAGTATCCCTGACAAGTGTTTGTCCCGCTACTGCTGAAAGACTGCCCATGAGGGGGAGCTCACCACTTCCCCAGGCAGCCGATTCCACTGCTGAGCTACTCTCACTGTAAATTTTAAAAAAATCCCTAATAGCCAGCTGGTACCTTTCCACCCGAAATTCAAACCCATTATTTTGAGTCCTATCCTCTGCTCCCAACAGGAACCATTCCCTGCCCCCCTCCAAGTGACAGCCTTTTGAATACTTCAAGAGACCAGTCCTGCCCAATGCTCCCTCTAAGCAGTGGAGTCTTGTGAGCAAAAATTCTACTTTGTGAGCTACTGGCATTAAAGGTGTGAGCGAGCGATTTGGCTACTGCATCAATTAGTTTGCTCTGGAGCCATCCTTCCTGAGCTAAGGCAAAAAAATGTGCGAGCCGGAGGCTAAAAAACTGTGAGCTAGCTCACACTAACTCAGCTTAGAGGGAACACTGGTCCTGTCCCCCCTCAACCTCCTCTTCTCCAGACTGAACATTCCCCAAGTCCCTTCGCCTTTCCTCCATAGGGATGACTTCTGTGATTCCACACACCCCCGCCCAGTTATCTACGGTGTGACTAGTAACCCAAGAGTCATTTTTGCAAGGATGTTCCAGACCAAACAAATGCAGCCTCAGATTTTAAGTGCAAGAGGGTAAAAAGGAACCCTGGCTTCTAAAAGATGCCTGTATCCTCAGAACAAAACTAAGCTTATTACGTATATACAGCACTAAGAAGAAGAGTTGGTTTTGTACCCTGCTCTTCACTACCCAAAGGAGTCTCGGAGTGGCATACAATCGCTTTCCCTTCCTCTCCCCACAACAGACACCCTGTGAGGTCTCCCCACTGGCTTCATGTGGAGGAGTGGGAAATCAAACCCAGCTCTCCAGATTAGAGTTCACTGCTCCTAACCACTACACTGAGAACAGAGTAAACCTCTTAGGCAGAGACGTTTTACTGAAGAGTGACGACACGCCACTTTGCATATCCTTCTGAACAAGTTCTGTCTAATTTGCAATACATGCTGGGGTCAAAAGTCATGTTTATCTAGGCATTGTGGGTGAAAAGAAGCTCTAACATTACCAGCACTGCTGTGATGATCATGCAAAAGACAAAAACAAAAAATGGAGTGTTTGAGGGCAGGTTATGGATGTAGGCATCACACAGGGAAACACAAAACGTATTTCACACCCACAAACACGCACACACCCACAAGACGGTATAAGGGGGAAGTTGCTTGTGCGGGAAACATACTTAGCTTCCTCCACAACTTCCACCTCGGTACGCTCTGCGATTTGGGTACTAGAGGGGACTCCTGGTGGCTCGTCCATGTTCAACTCACCGTTGGTGGAGTTTATCACCTGCCAAAAAAGAGAGAGAAACAAGACGCTCACATTAATGCCGGACTTTGGCCTGATTTTTGTCAAAGGGGCACACGGGTGGGCGATCCGTCCAAAGCATAAGCTGGTGAGTGATTTTCATCCCACTGTCTGAGAACTACCATTTCTGTCTGCCATTACAGCTTGCCGCCCGACCGCTCCTGAACTAAAAGTTCTCTGCAAACTTTCCTGTTCTCTCTGATGCACACCCCACTCTTAATGTAGTACAAAATAGAATAGGAACAGCTCTGACCTGCATAGCCCAGGCAAGCCTGATCTCAGAAGCGCAGGGCCAACCTTGGAAATTAGATGGATGGGAGACCTCCAAGGAATACCAGGGCCAAGATGCAGAGGCAGGCAATGTCCCTTGCCTCTAGGGCCCACTTGCCTCCAGGGCCCACTAGGGGTCGCCAGAAGTCAGCCATGACTTACAGGTGCATGCACACACATGCACACTCTCCAAAAAAAGAGAACAGGAACAAATGTATAAATGTTAGAATAATTTATTTTAAACTAATGACAAATCTATACATTTTAGGGCTTCCCCCACCCCCCGTCATCAAGTCACAGCTGACTTATGATGACCCTGTAGGGGTTTCCAGGCAAGAAGCATTCAGAGGTGGTTGGCCATTGCCTGCCTCCGTGTCACAACCCTGATATTCCTTGGAAGTCTCCCATCCATTTTTTCTTTTAAAAAGCAACATACAAATCTAGCACATACTTGGATGCTATATGCAACAAACTACAATAAACACATTGGTGCAAGTCAGGGACCAAGATGTCTCCGTTAGATCTACAACAGAGCACCTCTTCAGGACACAGCAGCCTCCGCCACAGGCTTGGAGCCTCCGTCCACTTTGCGATTGGCCCCAGCACCCTGGTGCCCACCCCTGTTCTCAAGATACCAAAAGCGCTGCCAAGTTCCAAAAGATTGAGGACCCCTGCGCTAAGGGGAACGAAGGAGAAAAAGAAAACATAGCAGACCAAAGAGCTGCAGCACCCAGGTGCTGAATAGCAGTCCCCTGTGGAATACACCTTCTTCCCCACCTTCACAACTTTCCGCCTGGTCATGACCAGTGTTGCTAGTTTCTGTTCACTTCTACCTTTCCTTCCCTGTCTTCACCCCTATTACCCATTGCTGCTTTCAGTATGCTCGTGACGGTAAAACATTTGGGTCCCGCCCGACAAGGGGTTCTTAATCGAACACTCACAAGAAGGCAGTGGAAAAATTCCAAGACAACTTTATTGTGCTGTGGCCAGAGAATCCTTCCCAACTAATGCTCACTTCTTTAGCTGAGAAGTGACTCAAGAAACCTCCTCCCCTGCCACAAATTTTGTTAGTCCGTAAGGTGCTACCGGACTCTTTTGCACTTTTCTGTTGCTACAGACAGACATGACTACCCCACTTGCTTTTGAAGCTTCCAGCTACTCTACCAGCTCCCAGGGTACAAGAGTTCATTCCTACGCCAGCACAGCGAGCAGCACTATAACACAGCGTTACTCATGCTAAAGGACAATTTTTCCTTCACTCACCATGCAGCCGTGCAATGGACACTGTGCCCCTGTTGACCATCCCGATTACGTCTCACAGTAAAGCAAGAGAACTGCAGCCCTTGTAGTCCCCCTCGCTCCAAAAATGCTCTAGTTGAGGCCAAGAGCAGAGTTTTTTCTGCTCAGACACAAATCAAGGTCCCTGTTCGTTAATCAGATCGCAGCTAAAGGAGATACTGGACAAGGACGAGTGCTGGTATTGCCACAGCAATTCTACCTAGTGCAAAGGCAGGAAAGTTTGTGTTTTCCTGCAGAGATAAAGAGCCCTGCTCACAATGTCCCCAACTGGGAAGATTGTCCAGAAATTTCAGGTCACCCCCCAAGCCGGTTTTTCCTGCCCCTGCTACTGGAGTCAGTGTGATCCCCCAGTGGCTGTAAACCAACAAATGGCCGAGGATTAAGCTGACTCAGGAAGCCCCCCTCCCAAACCTCCCTCCTGCCTCCTAGGACTGGAGGGGAAACTTCAGGACAGACATTTGCTGCCTTGTCCACTTCTCCCTCTCCATCTCTAGCCCAGTCCAAATGGGGAAAGGCAGTTCACACACTAAGCAGAGCGGGACAGGGCATGGCACGCATCATCTCGCTCCTGATCCGCATGAAGGAGCCGTGCCGGATATACGCTGGCAACATCACTCTCTCAGCACTGGTGAAGAAGACCAAGGGGAGGAAATCTGTGCCTCCGGAGACGCTTGAACCACACATAGGACTTCCAGTTTTGGAACCCAAATCTTTCGAATGGAGACGGCTCGCGCACTCAGCTCAAGAGACGCAGAAGGACCAGTCGCGCAGGTCCGAATCGGCGCGGCGGGCAGAGGAATCCTATCGCTACAGATAAGAGGCACGGAACCGGGAAGGGCAATACCTGGACTGATCCCCCGTGCCGCTCTGAAGCCAAGTGACTGGTCAGGAACAAAGCATTGGTTTGCCGCACTGGTGGAGGGGCCTCCCAGTCTCCTCGGCGTTCGGATGCAGCCTGCGCAGGCATTTGGGGGAAGCGAGAGAGCAGAAGACAGGAGGAGAGGTAAAGGTGAATCAAAGCAAAGCAAACGTTCCCTTTTAAAAAGCATGTGATCAGCTAGTTGGGAGGGCGGGGGAGAGGGAGGGAAAAGAGCAAGCATTTCAAAAGCGAGTAAAGCAGTTATTTCCACAAGCCTCCCCACTCTCACTCTTTGTATACAAGCCAGAAAGCGGCACCAAAGTTGATTGTGTCTCATTGCTAACTTGAACGATAAAATGCTCCATGTAGCTAGATTGAGGTCCAGGAGCACTTTAGAGTTCAACAAGTTTTTTTGGGAGTATGACCTTTCAAGAGTCAAAGCTCCCTTCGTCAGATACAAAGCGCCATGGTGATTCTCAATTCCCAAACTTTAAAAAATATATATATATGCACAGGTAAACAGAACATATTTCAGAGTGAGCATATCTACATAGCGCTGTAAAATGTCCAAAGAACTTCAGGCACATTGTATCTCCGCACTCTTTACATTAACCCTTGAACGCTGATCAGCACTATTATTCCCATATTGAAAGGAGGGAAGGCCTGAAGTAGAAAAACGATAGACTTGATGAGGGCTCCCGTGTGAGGTCCCGGCAGAGGAAAGGCTTGAACCAGCGCTTTCCCAGTCCTCGGCTCAATAGATAACACACATGTGCATTGCAAAGATAAAGACGTTTCCCTTAATCTTATTTCAGCTACAAAATGGTATCAGCAACAAAGCCAATGAAAAGTTCCTGGTGGTTTTCCAGGGAGCTGTCAGGAAAATCACACGTGGGTAGCAGTGCTGTGACTCCCAAACTATATGAGGCGGGGGTGCTGGAACAGGGGCTGAGCGTGCACCTTGAAAAAACCACCACTGTACTGCATGTGCCCACCACCCTATGCCACACCGAGTGGTTTCCCTTCAACCACGTTGCCAATATTGTGACTGCTCACACCATCCCTTGGGAGGATTAAAAGGAGGCAAGTGGGAATTTCAGAAGAGTCATCGTGGCCCAGAATACGTGACCTCATCCCCTGAGCCATAAGACGTGACTGGGCTAAAAGATGATGGTATCCCAGGAGGCAAATATTTATTGATTTATTGTTTGTTTATTTATTGGATTTATATCCCGCCCTCCCCAAAGGCTCAGGGCGGCTAACAACGAGGCACGAGTGCCAAAGTTAAGACAGATAAAATCAGCATAAAACAGAATAAAACAATATACTACAAACACCAAAGTGTCAGTGCTCGGTTTGTCACAAGATGGGGTAGATCTTAACCCAATGGCAACGTTCCGATAGCCTGTCATCCCTTCTCCTTCCAGGGTCACCTCGCACCCCGATGGAACCACATAGTGGTGATAGTGGTGTGATGATGCATAGATAGTGATGGTGGAGTAGTGGTGGCGGCGGCTCCTACTCAAAAGCCCTTTATGGTCTGGGGCCTGTCTACCTGCGGGACCGCCTTTCCCCGTATGTTCCCCCAAGAGCACTGAGATCTGAGTTGCAGAACCGTTTAGTCCCCCCTGGCCCTAGGGACGCCAAGTTAACAGCGACAAGAACCAGGGCGTTTTCCCTAGCTGCACCAGTATGGTGGAATCAGCTCCCAAATGACATCCGCGCTCTGCAGGATTTCCACCAATTCCGCAGAGCGGTAAAGACTGAGCTGTTCCGCCAAGCGTTTAATAGCCCAGATCAATCATTCTAGCACTTTATATGGATGGCCGCCATGTGTAAACTGTACTGCTCTAATTGTGATTTTACTGTTAATAATTTATATTTGTGTTATTGATCGTTTTTAGATGTACTGTATTAATTTTTAATGATTTTTAATTGTTGTAAGCCACCCTGAGCCGCTTCGGCGGGAGGGCGGGATAAAAATCGACCGTAGTGCCCTTGGGGGAACATATGGGGAAAGGCGGTCCCTTGGGTAAGCCGGACCCTGGCCATACAGGGCTTTAAAGGTAAGAACCAGCATTTTGAAGCGGATCCGGTACGCTATTGGCAGACAGTGCAGTGCTTTCAGCACAGGCTGAATGTGATCCTTCCTAGAGAGACCCATCAACAGCCTGGCTGCAGCATTCTGCACTTGCTGCAGCTTCCGGATTTGTGACAAAGGCAGCCCCAAGTAGAGAGTGTTACAGTAGTCTAACTTCGAGGTGACCGTCACATGGACCACTGTGGCCAGGTCATTGCGGTCAAGGAAGGGGAACAACTGCCAAGCCAGCCGAAGATGGTAAAAGGCTGACTTGGCAGTGGCTGCCACCTGGGGCTCCATCATTAAAGAGTAGTCCAGGAGCACACCCAAACTCCTAACCTCCGACGCTGGCACCAAAGGCACCACATCGAAGGTTGGGAGAGGGAGCCCCAACCCTGAACCGATCCAACTCAGGTCCAGGACCTCCGTCTTTGCCAGGTTTAGTTTCAACCGGCTCAATCTGAGCCACCCAGCCACAGCCTGTAACGCCCGATGAAGGTCGACCAGAGCAGAGTTTGACCCAGCCGCCCAACATCAGATAGAGCTGGGTGTCATCTGCATATTGATGACACCCAAGCCCACAACTCTGGGCCATCTGGGCAAGGGGGCGCATGTAGATGTTAAACAGCATCAGGGACAGCACCGCCCCCTGAGGCACCCCACACTCAAGGGGATGTCTCTGGGACCGCTGATCCCCTATTGCCACCCTTTGTCCCCGACCTTGGAGAAAAGAGGCAAACCATTGAAGGGCAAGCCCCTGAATCCCCACGTCGGTGAGGCGGTGGGCCAGCAACTGGTGGCCGACCGTGTTGAGCGCAGCCGACAGATCTAACAACACCAGTGCCGCCACACCACCCTGATCCAGATGCCTACGGAGGTCATCAGTCAGGGCGACCAGCACCGTCTCTGTCCCATGACCCGGGCGAAAGCCGGACTGGAAGGGATCGAGGACATATTCACCTGGGTATGCTGCAGGGCAAGATGCAGCATTTGGCCACTGTTGTGGGAGCTGATCCGGAAAAATAGGTCTCTCCAGGTTTGTTGATTCAAACCATTTATATGCCACCTTCCCACCCAAACAGGATCCCCCCCAAGAGGGCAAATGAAGGGCTAGTCCAATTTGACATCTAAGAAAAGAAACCCACCTCCGTAGTCCTGGCATCAAAAGTATGCGAAAATGAGCAACAATGGTTTAATCTCTTCCACTATTTAAGAGTTTACAACTAAACAAATCAATCAATCAAAGTTAATTTGTCTAGTTGTAAACCCGTATTTCAAGGTAGCAGCAGCTATATCAACCCACCAGTGCCTGTTCAGTTCTGGAACTTTTATTCTTGTCCTGGCCAATCCCTTGAGGAAGCATATCAATAAAGATGCATTTGCCCAGAAAGGTGGTGGTGGTTGTTTTTGAAGAGGTGAAAGCAAACTGAAAGTGAGAGGATGAACAACTGTTTGGTTCACGCCCATGGCGATACCTTTCTCACCCTTCTGGGCTGTAAGTGATCGTAGCTCCAACTGACAAAACTTTTTGCTATTAGTAGGTACCAGGGCTATTTTTGGGCAGCAACGCACAGGAACGGAGTTCCGGCTGGCTCCTGAGTTGGCCATGCCCAGCAGGAACTCATTAGCATAATAGGCCACACCCAACAGCAGAAACTCATTAGGATTGGCTACATTAGGGGTGTATGGCCTAACATGCAAAGGAGTCCCTGCTACAAAAAAAGCCCTGGGTTTTGACAACAAACAAGGTAAACAGAATAAGAAGGGGAAGGTGGGTGTGGCTGGATGACCACACTTCTGGTAACATGGGGGTGTGGCCTAATGTGCTAATGAGTGGTGCGGTCAGGGTGTGGCCTAATATGCTAACGAGTTTTGCTGTTGGGTGTGGCCTATTATGCTAATGAGTTCCTGCTGGGCTTTTTCTACAAAAAGAGCCCTGGTAGGTACAACCAAGATAGATTCAGGCGGGTAGCTGCGCTGGCCTGGAACAGCAGAACAAAGTTGGAGTCCACTGAAGACGTGTGGGTCCGCAGGAAAGCTTATACCTTGAATAAAACTTTGTTGGTCTTAAAGGTGCCGCCGGACTCAAACTTTGTACTGAAACTACAGCCAGCGGGATTATTATTATACAGCAGGACTGACCTCAATGGTTATAGAGAGAACACCTTCATCTGTTTCGACAATTCTGGCATTCAAGAGTCCGCAGCGGGCAGAGATCGAAGGCTACAGAAGGAAACCTGAGAAAGGGTGGAGGGTCCCTCAAAGATGCCCCAGGTAGATCCAGGGCGGAAATACATTGAAACAGGTTGTAGTTTAACTGACCTGAGTTCGTTGGGGCTGGATCGAAGCTCGTTCTCGGTACATGTGGCTCTCTCTGGTCATGGATGGCCCGGACTCTACGTGCATGGGTCCCACTGGGGTGGGCTGGAAAATAAAACCCACTACTGAACATCCAGGTTAGGTCCCCCAGCAATGTGTGAAAGATCAATAATTAAAGCGGGTCATTTGACAGAAGAGAAGAAGAAGAGATTGGATTTATACCCCACTCTTCACCACCCAAAGGCGTCTCAAAGCAGTTTACAATCTCCTTTTCCCTCCCCTCCCTGCAACAGACACCCTGTGAGCAATGCTCTCTCTAAGCAGTGGAGTCTTGTGAGCAAAAAGTTTACTTTGTGAGCTACTGGCATTAAAGTTGTGAGCAAGCCCCATCCTTCCTGAGCTAAGACAAAAATGTGTGAGCTGGAGGCTAAAAAACTGTGCGCTAGCTCACACTAACTCAGCTTAGAGGGAACACTGCCTGTGAAGTAGGTGGGGCTGAGAGAGCTCTTTTGAGGACTGCTCGTCAGAGAATTGCTCTGAGAGAACTTGTAACTGACCCAAGGTCACACTAGTAGCTGCATGTGGAGGAGTGGAGAATCAAACCCGGTTCTCCCAGATTAGAGTTTGCGCTCCCAACCACTATACCAAACTGGCTCTCAGGAAGCAAATGAAGGCAGACCTCCTACTGTCAACTCGTGTGTGTGTGTGTGTGTCAATTCCTGTATCAAGGGCCTGTAGCTTCTTAGCACAACAGCCAGACCTGAAATCTTGCCTGAGCTGGCCAATATGGTAGTATATGGTAGGTGCCTTGGCAAAGGCGAGGTCATGGCTCAGTGGTAGAGCATCTGCTTGGCATGCAGAAGGCCCCAGGTTCAGTCCCCAGCATCTCCAGTAAAGGGATTAGGAGGTAGGTGATGGGAAAGACCTTGGTCTGAGACCCTGGGTCAGTGGTAGAGCATCTGCTTGGCATGCACAAGGCCCCAGGTCCAGTCCCTGGTATCTCCAATAAAGGGATCAGGCAGTAGGTGATAGGAAAGAACTTGATCTGAGACCCTGGGTGAGTGGCAGAGCATCTGCTTGGCATGCAGAAGGTCCCAGGTTCAACTCCCCGGCACCTGCAGTTAAAGGGACCAGGCAGTAGGTGATAGGAAAGACATCAGCCTGAGACCTTGGAGAGGCGCTGCCAGCAGGTGACACTGACTCTGATGGACCAAAGGCCTGATTCAGTATAAGGAAGCTTCATGTGTTTTATCTGCAGGACTGTTCCCATTTAAATGGTTTAAGGTGGCAGATAATGGGCACGGTAGGCTAAAAAACTGTGAGTTAGCTCCCACTCACTCAGCTTACAGGGAACACTGAATACATACACTTGGAATCTATATTGTTGTTATTTTTAAAGCTTTATATTTTATTAATAAAAATGTTTATTTTTTTAAAAAAAGGAAGTCATCTTGTGCTCTCAAGCGATCGCAAAGAGATCCCACTCCCCCAAAAAAACTTACAATTGGCCTGCCAACCCAGTCGTAGACATAATCAAATATGAATCCTCTCCTGTCAAATAACTCCGTGAAGATTGTCCGTAAGTAATCATAGTCTGGTCTTTCAAAGAAGTCTAATCGCCTGACGTAACGGAGGTAAGTGGCCATCTCCTCTGTTAATAGGGAATGAGGAAGAAGCAAGACGTCAGACCATCTGTTCGGGAAGAGGCAGAAGCACAATACGTTCCAAATGGTAACCTTGAGCAGACTCGGGAGGTCTTTTGATCGTTTGAAAAGACGCTCTCAGGGAAGAAGAAGAGATTGAATTTATACCCCACCCTTCACTCAGAGGAGCTGCGGTGGCTCAAGTGGTTAAGACGCTGAACTGCAGGCTGTGGAGGGTCAGTAGTTCAGCAGTTAGAGACCCAAGTGTGCCGCATGATGGAGTGAGCTCCCGTCTCTAGTTCCAGCTCCTGCCAATCTAGCAGTTCGAAAGCAAGAAATTGCAAGTAGATAAATAGGTACCACTTCAGTGGGAAGGTAACAGCGTTCCGTGCGCCTTGGTGTTTAGACATGCTGGCCACATGACCATGTCTTTGGACAGCGCTGAAATGTCTTTGGACAGCGCTGGCTCTTCGGCTTTAAAACGGAGATGAGCATCGCAACCCTAGAGTTGGATTCGACTGGCTTTCGAGCAAGGGAACCTTTACCTTTACATCACTCCGAGTCTCAGAGCGGCTTACAAACTCCTTTCTCTTCCCCTCCCCCACAACAGACACCCTGTGAAGTAGGCGGGGCTGAGATAGCTCTTGATAGAACTGCCCTTTCAAGGACAGCTCTGAGAGAACTATGGCTTGCCCAGGGTCATCCAGCAGCTGCAAGTGGAGGAGTGGGGAATTAACCTTGGTTCCCCCAGATTAGAGTCCGTGCACTTAACCACTACACTGAAATGGCTTTGAAGACAGCATTCAGCTATTAACATTAATGTGAACCCCTGTCAGGCAGACTATGTCATTCTTCCCCTTCTCCATTTTAACCTCACAACCAACGGTGAGTTGGTGAGGCTTGTGAGCACACGCCTGGACTAAGATGAACCAGTGAGCTTCATAGCAGTGTGGTGATTTAAACCTGGGTCCTCCTTGGACCTAGTTGAGCCTTAACTGCTACAGCACATAGGCATCTCACATTTAACCAGTACAGCCCGAATGTCCCATTGATTAGGAAGTGGCAGACACAAACACAAAATATTTGCAGAGTCCCTGGGTTTCACATATACTGCCGCAACAACATGGGGTGGGTTAAAGTAACTTAGATACAAAAAAGCAGTCGGATGTTGAGGATAGGGAAACAGCTGGCTGAACACACTCTGAATATTATTCAAGCAACAAACGACAATATTGTCATGCATTTCTACTCCTCTGCCAAAAAAACTCCCAAGACCACCCTTTTGCTTTGCAGGACAAGATCAATTTCACAAGGCACAAAAAAGGGCTTTTACTTACCTGTCATTGCCAAGTGCATTTGGAAAGGTCGAGAGTGAATTCATAAGTCTGAATAGCTAGCTCTGACCGTCTTACCCAGAGTGTATAAGGTCTATTTGTATACAGCAACAGGTAAAAATATATGTTGCATACACTCGTCAGACTGCAGTTCTTCGACTAGATAACATCCACTGCAGCCTTATCAAGTAGATTAAAACCTTACGAATACTGGTGACAGCTAGAGATGTTCCTATTTTAATATCTTTCAAGATGTCTCCAGACGACGTATGAGTTTATTAAGACCGATAGGCTTAGGAAAACAGAGGAGACACGCACCGATTTCAAGGAAGTGCCTGGCACGGACAGGATGCCGCCCAGTCTGACAGTTACCTGGGAAGTTCTCACAGAGAACATCAATTGGAGTGTTCCTCTTTGTGTCCCCGATCTTCTGGTATCTCTCTTTTAGTGTATCGGCCTGCAGAAGGCAAAGAGGTTTGTTATTTGTTTTAATGCCACAGCTTTCAACTGGGTGGCCTGTTGGCCAGCTGAGGGGGCTCTGGGGACATTCCCGTCCTCTTGCCTGGAAGGACGGGGCCAGAGTGCCCCCCCATGCAAACAAGCGCTCTACTCATCCTCAGAGGCAGAGCAGGATGTGGCGGCACCTCCCTGCTTGCCTCTTCTCCTGAGAGGAAGTGGCTAAAATAGTCACTCAGCAGCAGGGACTAAGAATTGGGAACATGAGGAGAGGAGGAGAGGAGGAAGGAAAAGTTTAATGCCTTTTTTAAAGCACTGTAAGTCATAAGAACATCAGAAGAACCCTGCTGGATCAGACCAGTGGTCCATCCAGTCCAGCCTCCTGTCTCACGCAGTGGCCAACCAGTTCCTCTGGAGAGCCAACAACAGGGCACAGAGGTTGAGGCCTTCATAAGAACATAAGAAGAGCCCTGCTGGATCAGACCAGCAGACCGCGTAGTCCAGAATCCTATCTCACACAGTGGCCGACCAGTTCCTCTGGATGGCCAACAATAGGGCACAGAGGTCGAGACCTTCATAAGAACCTAACAGCCCTGCTGGATCAGACCAGTGGTCCATCTAGTCCAGCATCCTGTCTTAAATAGTGGCCAACCAGTTCCTCTGGAGGTCCAACAACAGGGCATGGAGGCCGAGGCCTTCATAAGAATGTAAGAAGAGCCCTGCTGGATCAGACTAGTGGTCCATCTGGTCCAGCATCCTGTCTCACATAGTGGACAACCAGTTCCTCTGGATGGCCAACAACACGGCATAGAGGCCGAGGCCTTCCTCTGATAACAGCATCAGAAGAGCCCTGCTGGATCAGACCAGTGGTCCATCTAGTCCAGCATCCTATCTCACACTGTGGCCGATCAGTTCCTCTGGAGGAGCAACAAGAGGGTATCGAGGCCAAGGCCTTCCCCGATGTTGCCTCCTGGCTCCGGGATTAAGAGGATTACTGCCTCTGAATGTGGAGGCTCCCCTCAGTCACCTAGTAAACACTGACAGACTTACCCTCCATGAAACTATCTAATCCCCTTTTAAAGCTGTTTATTCCCGTGGCCTTCTCTGGCAGCGAATTCCACACATTAATCAAGACGTTTTCAAGACTACATTATTGGAAAAGTGGGATGCAAACACAGAATCAAGCCAAGTTCTCTCCGTTCCTGCTCTCCCATCTGTTCGACAAGGGTACCACGAGGATAGGCAGTGGGGTGTCCTTGAAGCCACCACGGCTTTAGGGGTGACCTCTGCTCAGTACTCCTCTCCTGGGAAAGTGGTTTCTTAGGCAGAACGGAGCATTGGCCTCCCCTGAAGGGAAGGCTGACGCTCCCTTCTCCAGCCTTATCTTTCAGGCATGCAACTGCTTGTCCACCCCCGTCCAAAGACACCCTATTTCCTCCCAACCTATCCAAAGGGAGATTAATAATTAAGCGGAGGAGGAAAGAAAAGCTGTTTCAGATGGAACAGGAAACTTCTGGTAGAGGAAAATTTATTCAGCGTGTGCCTTCGGTGTCTACCTTAAGGCCTTGCCACGGCAAACTGCCCCGTAGGAAGTACATGAACATATGGCCAAGGGCTTCCAGGTCGTCTCGCCGGCCTTGCTCTGAAACAGACACACACACACACACGTCACCATTTTGCCTATGCCTACAGAAATGACTCATTAGGTTCCTGTTTTCCATGTAAACCAGGAACACGTTTTCCAAGTGTACAGGGGGGCATAAAAGTGACATGCACCAGACAGCCCCAATGGGCCACATGCCCTTAGCAAAGGCTGATCATGTACAGTTCTGTTTCATATTACACCATGCACGCCACTGGATGAACTTGGGGCATGAAGCATGGATTTGCTCCAAGTCTAAGAGCTGAGTTTTTTTGCCAAGACAGCCTTGAGCTTGTTACAAACTGGGAACGACTTCTTCATTCGGTATAGTCAAGATCAGTTTCCAGCACAAACAAGCTCTCCAGCATGAATGTGTGCACACAGTTGTAACCAAGGCTATAGAACTTCAAGCACACTCTACTGCACACAAAGAATCAAAGTAACACAGATGGTACCAAGTCAAACAACACAGACCTTTGCCAAGATGTGTGTTGATAGACATGTATCTGGCAGTTCCCGTTAAGCTCTTGTGCTCCCGATAGGGGATGTGTTTTTGTGTTTCCGGATCAATGTATTCCTTGGCCAACCCAAAGTCTATTATGTGGATGACGTGTTCCTTCTTGTTTCCTTGCCGGCCAATAAGGAAGTTTTCTGGCTTGACATCGCGATAAATGAGGTTCTTGGAGTGCACCAGTTCCATTCGAGTGATCTGTCAAAGAACCAAATTGGGGGGAAAGTTTCACAAAACGCCATAAGTTATAAACATCTGTCAACCAACTGCTGATATGTAATCCTTCACATTAGTGCATATTAAAGTGAAGCTGGCCTTCCGTTCATTTTGCTCTCCTTGAGGAAATACTCGCAAGCATACAACGAAGCCCTGAATTCCCTGGAAGAGAGATTGAAAGCCGCCAATCTAAATATCTACACTCTCCCAACAGTTATAAGAAGACTCAACGAACTCAAAGTCACTTGCCACACCATCAACGTGATGCTGTCAGGATGACCAGAGCCAGAATGAGACCGCTATGACCGTTTTTAGGTACCTTAACTCTATTTGGGGAGTTGCAGAACATGTAGTCCTAGGATTATTTAAGACCTGGTAATATCCATCCTTTGGGTAGTGAAGGGCGGCGTATAAATCCAATCTCTTCTTCTTAATCCTTGCAAATTCCCCCTTATGGTAATGGCAGGTTAAAAGGGTCTTTTTAATGCAAGAAAAGATCTTGAGGCAAGGTTGAAGGCAGTGACCGGACAGCGGAAGGTGCTGATGGGTGAGGAATTCAGTGTTCCCTCTAAGCTGTGCACATGAGCAGCCCCTTGTTAACACAGGAAGCCCTGCTCAGCAGCAACTTGGAGTCGTGCAGGGTCTTGCATTGCCCATTGCCTTTTTGAATATTACAGCAGTTCTGTTCTGCTCAGGATGGGAACTGCTCTGCTCAGTAGGCCAAAAAAATTAGAAGGAATTGGTGAGGGTCTTTACTGCATCCCCCCCCCAGCAGTCCCTTCCAAAAAGGGAAAAGTTACTTCTTGGGGCTGTGTGACCCACAAGCTACGCAGGTTTGGGGAGGGCTGAGCAGGTGCAGTGGGAACGACAGGCAGAATATGATTTCAGTTTTCTACTGCTCTTCTAGCTAACCCAGCAAGTCCCTTGACTTTTATTTTTGATTCAGGAAATCGGTACCACTGTGCCTTGTTACTCAATTCAAGATTACACACCCCAGTTGATTAATGTGTTTCCGTATTTGCACCAGCATGAAAGGTGAATGCAAACGTTAAACAAGGAACCGGATAACATCAAAACAGGAACCGGGATTCTAAACTCTCTAGGTGAGCAGCAGAAGTTGCTATGGCTAGGTGGCAGATTTTGCCAGGACACCCTGGGGGGGAGAATCCCTTTCCTGAGAAAAGAGAAACCTGTCTGAGCCGTTTCAGGTGCAATTTGTAGCATGGATCAAAAATAAGACACATTTGTCCTATTCCAGGTATGCTGGCCTTAACCACCCAGGCTTCAAGGATATTGGTTCACATAAACACTGAACAAGTCATGCTATGAAGATTAAGAACATGGGAATATGGGCTCATTCCTTGCCCATATACAAGAATCAAACTCCAAAATGACCAGGAAAAGCCTGCCAGAGCCTGTCCCAGAATCATCTTGAACACATTCACCTACTTGCTACCCGATCTCTTGAGTTCTGCCTCACAAAAGCTTCTGCCCAAAGAAATACCGTTCACAGGGGACTCCTGTCTGATTTACCCCAACTGGATCGGGGTTTTTTTACTCACCAACTGGATGGCTATCATTAAGACAGTCTTCAGAGTAAACGTTCTATCGCAGCTGTCAAATAAGTCCTCCAAACTTGGTCCGAGGAGCTCGAGTACCATGGCATTGTACTTTCCACATGGGCCATAATAATATACTTGGGGGAAGCCTTCTGTTGAAACAGGAACGAAACGAAATTCAAGATATGAACAGAAGCGGCAGCAACATCACTATTAGGATACAGGAATTTCTCAGAGTGCACAGCCGTGACTGCTGACTGCCCAATGGGTCACTTGTAATGGTTTCTGGGACGGATACACAATTCTCTCCCCTGCCATGTAATGTACCACCTTTGCATTTAAATTTGCAAGGCAAACATATGCTAACACAGCAATTTCTAACACCCCTGTAATCCAAAATAACCTGTCAACTATTAACAGCCTGCTCTACTTCAATTTACAAAAAACAGCTTATGATGCGACAGTAACAAGCTGTCGTGCCAGAAACGCACATCCACAACCCTCTTGAGCATACAGAATTAGCTGGGAAGCTCTCTGGGATTGCCACCGCTGCCTGCAGCCCACGGACTGATCCTCTATAGTGGAAATTCTCTCAATAGCCTTGCAATGGCTCTGGATAATCAGCAACCACCCAGCACCACCCCACCCTGCACAAGTTCAGCCTCGGCGTTTGATCTAGAGGCAGCTGACTGAGCAGTGAAGAAATGCAAATGCAGATCACTTATACTGGGAACTATTCTCAATCTCACGGGAGCCAGGATCAGGCAAAGACGACATCCTGGTCTCATCAGGTTCATTTTCAGCCACAAAGAAAGGACATTTAACACTTATGTTCCTTCCAAAAAAGGCCTTTTCAGACTGAACGCTCCGTTCCACAGTACTACAAGGACTGCAAAGTCCCTCAAAGGACTCAGACGAATGCCTGGCAGTTCTAGGAAAGCCTTCCTCCACCAGCTGTTTCCTGCTTAAGCAGTCCAAAGACTGGATTCTCAGAGCCATTCTTCTACCATCTTTGGGTCTTAAAAGTATTTCAGTTCTGTCCAGCCGACATGCCATCTGCCGCAGAATCCCAACCAAAGGAGGCACGGGCACAGGGTTAAAGAAAAGTTTGGTTTGCATATTATGAACATAGTTTCTGCAGAACTTATCAGGACTGACATCAGACTACAGAGCCGGCTCAAGACATTTTAGTGCTTGTGGCCTTCTCGGACATTGGAAGCGTGGTTTCAAGTAGCAAGAAGATGGTTAAATTCCTGCAGCTCATAACAGCACAACCTGTTTGCGAGTGCACAAAATCCTCACTGGCAAGAGGGCAGGAGTTCTGAGGTCAGAGATATCAAGAGACTCCACAGACACACACACACACACCCCAGAGAAAAATTCCCTCTAAGCTTCCTCTCACACCAGCTGGAAGCATATCAATCATTATCAATCAACTATGTACAGTTTTGGCCACCGTATCTCAACAAGAACACTGCAGAGTGGGGAAAAGTACAAAAGCTGATGGGCAGTAGGTTCAAGACGAACAAAAGAAAATTCTACTTTAAACAGAGAGTGATTAAAATGTGGACTTTGCTGCCAGAGGATGTAGTGATGACTACAGGAATAAACAGCTTTAAAAGGGGATTAGAAAGATCCATGGAGGAGGAGTCTATCAATGGCTATTAGCCATGGTGAATGAGGGGAACCTCCACATTCAGAGGCACTAATCCTCTGAATCTGAGTGCCAGGAAGCAACATCAGGGGAAGGTCTCGGCGCTGTGTTGCTGGCCCTCCAGAGGAACTGGTTGGCCACTGTGTGAGACATGATGCTGGACTAGATGGACCATTGGTCTGATCCAGCAGGGCTCTTCTGGTGTTCTTATTACGCTTTTTCTTTTAACACATCCCCTTCCAATATTAGACCAGCTGATCACTTCCAAACACTTGATTTTACTTTTCTAAAGATACCGAGGACGGCCTCTCTGTGCCACATTTGAGTCAGCTGAAAAATAAGATTGCAAGAAGTCTTGCTTACCTGTACAGCCAATGTGTTTATAAAATCTATACTCTAAATGCAGCTGGGGGGCACGGGATTTTAATGGCTCCTGTAAGAAAACAAGGAGGGGAAAGAGAAGAAAAGTCAATTCCAGTAGCTTTGTTTCTAGGACCTATGTAGCATTTCTAAAACTGTGAACATAGGAACAAACTGAGTGGCTTGAACATCTTTTTAAAACCAAGTACCTGAGCCTTTGCTGAGCTCAAGACTAAAGGAAAAGGAGACCAAAAAAGACAGAGCAGAAGCAGGGATTATGGCAGAGAAGCTAAACTGAAGCCGATTCAAAGCAATGGAGCCATAACCCACAGTTTATTTCTTTATTTTTGAGATTTTTATTCCACCTTTCCCAAAGTGGACTCAGGGCAGATCACAAGAAACCGAGTTCAAGATTTGTTACAATAAAATCATGTTAAAATCAGTAAAGACAATAAACAATAAAAATCATACAGTTAGCAAGAGTTTCGTATCTGTTAGAGCTACAAGTGGAATCAAGTTGGTCCTTTCAGCAGACTGGGAGCCAGAGCAGGGAGACTAAGACCAAGACAGATGCCAGCCACCTCAACCGAAGGCCTGGAGGAACAGCTCCATTTTGCAGGCCCTGCGGAACAATAGAAGGTCCCATAGGGCCTTGATCTCCAGTGGGAGCTGATTCCACCTGGCCAGAGCCAGGGCGGAGAAAGCCCTGGCCCCGGTCGAGGCTGTCCATAGGGCTGGGGATAAGCCTTTGAATGTTAAGCATTTGTGCCGGTCTTTTCTCCCCTCTGAGGACCCAAAGCAGATTGAAAAAATACACACCCACAAAAATTAAATAAACACAGTCAACCAGTACAATAACCACGTGGGGGTCTAATCCTGGATCCTCTGGCCTTGGTCACTCTACACATCAGACACCAAGCCATGGACTAAAAATCAGAGGGCCAGGAGCCCTCTGACTCTTGCCTTTGGCCATGCACAGGTGAAATTCCCACATCAGGGGAAGCACAGAAACTCCGCCCCAAATCTCAAACAGCTGGCAGAGAGAGGGTTCTTAACTTTCCTCCCCTTCTAGAAATGCCTATGGTACCCACACAACTACCTGCTTAGATTTTCTGCCCCAATGCAAAGAGGTCAAGCCTCCATTCACAAAAAGACAACCGCGCAGTTGGAGATAGAGAGTAAAACCTCCCGGCTTCAGTCACTTTGCCAGGCAAAGGCTCTGAGCATCTACCCAAGGAGTTCTTTGGGAATCCATCAGGCCTGTAAATGGCAAAGACAGTGAAGCAGCTGTTCAGGACAAGCCCCATTGCGTCATCTCTGGCCTGTGAATGACACAGCTTTCCAAAACTGTCTCTAGGGGAGGCAGGCATTAATATTTTCAGGAAGACGAAAGAATGAATAAAGTTGTCCATTTTTTATAGCAGGCAAAACCACAGAGTTCTTTTTTTTAAATGTGAGCCTACTCACCAGTTTGATTGCTACGTATTCATTTGTGTAAAGATTTTTGCCTGAAAAAGAAAAAATTCAAAAGGATCAAAAATTGTGACACAGAAGGCAGCATTTTAGGTCCGTAAACCATGTTCATGTTTCCTGCATGATAAGCAGTGTAAGGTAACCTTAGTTAATTTGTTTATACATATATTTCTCCAACAGTTTGCAACTCATTTTATTCCCTAGTATCACCTGTGCTTTAAGTGTGCAAACAGAAAACTGGGTGTGGAGACAATATGATCCACTTTAATGAGAACATTCAGGAAAAACAGTGTGTGTTCTCTTTTAATTCATCACAAAACTATTGGTAGTTTTTTCCATCAATTTTTCAATGCAGAGGCATATCACACACACCATTTTAAAACATTGCAAAAGTTTGTGCATATATATATATATGGGCAATCTTTTGCAATATTTTAAAATAGTACAGACAGGCAAGAAGCTGCAATGAAAATTAGGTGCTACCAGAGGGCATATACAGGACACTGCACAGAGTTCGAAAAGGGACTGACTGATGTGTGATACACACTGATGAGAACTGAGAGTCCTGGCAGTTTTTAAAAAATCAAAATGAGATTGCTTTAATTGGGAACCACTAGTTCTATCACTAGGGCAATTATAAGATACTCCATGAGCCTCAAGGCTTTTGAAAGTACTTTTGCAGGATATAAATGGGGAAAGTCATTGTGCTGACATAAGAGGGCAGTAGACACCAGTTTTTGAGAGTTAAGGAACAGTTGTTACAAACTGAGTTCTCGCATTCAGAGAATCTGCTCTGCAGAAATGTGGACTATTTCTCATGGAAGTTATCCAAAATTAAAGAGTAGCAAAAGCTGTTTGGTGTAGTGGTTAAGTGTGTGGACTCTAATCTGGGAGAACCGGGTTTGATTCCCCAGTCCTCCACTTGCACCTGCTGATGTGACCTTGGGTCAGTCACAAGCTCTGGCACAGCTGTCCTTGAAAAAGAGCAGTTTGTGCCAGAGTTCTCTCAGCCCCACCCACCTCACAGGGTGTCTGTTGTGGGGAGGGGAAGGGAAAGGAGTTTGTAAGCCGCTCTGAGACTCCAAGTGAAGGGCGGGGGATAAATCCAATCTCTTCTTCTTCTTCTTCTGATTCCCCATATTCAAAAATGGACACGAGTTCAAGGACAGTATACTGCTGCTGGTATCAGTTAGGAAGAAAGTGAAGTCTATACAAGGGTATCACCCCCATTCTAAACAAACTAGCACCCCCACAGAACAAAGTTTGAGTCCAGTGGCACTTTTAAGACCAACAAAGTTTAATTCTGGATATAAGCTTTTCTGGGCATGCATGTTTCTTCAGATATCTGGACTCAAACTTCGTTCTGTTGCTTCAGACCAACATAGCTACCCACCTGAATCTAGCACCCCACGTGGATGTGAAAAAATGTCTACATTGAAATATAAGGTGGAAAAAAAGGCTAATTGTCCAGCTTCGTTCCAAGTGCATCTTCATGCTTCACGCAAGAAAAGGCACTGAAAGCTAATCCAGGTGTGCACAGTACCAAAATCAAATCACTAAGACAGACTGGAGAGGCAGGAGTGTGGAAGACATAGTTTCTGCTGTAATCTGATATGTAACAGAACTAGGTAAGTTCATAAACAAAGCCTATACCAAGAAAAAAGAACATACATAACCCATCCACTCCAGAGGGTCCATATTTAATTTATGCACAGCATTTCTCCCCAATGGGAACCAAAGGGGCTGACATCATTATCCCCTCTTCCATTTCGTCCCCATAGCAACCCTGTGAGGTAGGTGAGGCTGAAAGAGTATGACTGGCCCCAGGTCACCCTGCAAGCTCACATGGTAGAGCAGGGATTCGAACCTATATCCTACCTAGTCCAACACTGTATCCCCTACGACACACTGGATTGTAGTTAACAGAACTTATTCATTAATGGGGTGAAAATTAACAGCTCATTGCCAGCTTGCGATCCCGTTTCGTTGCTGGTCTATGTTTGCACAGCATATTTTAGAAACGCTGATGTGTGTGTTTTTGTGGCGTCTGTGTTATGTATTTTACGTAAGTCACTTGATGGCGATGGCAGTGGCAGAGGTGGGACTTAACATATAATTAAACCAGACAGAAAATAAGAGAAATAAAAACCTCAGGTAGAAATCAAGGTGAGCTACCCTAAATGCTCAGCTGCAAGATAACCTGTCATTATATAAGGGCAATGGGGTGAGAATTCATGGGTCTCCTTCATGTTAAGAACAGAGCACCAATTAGTATTTGAGTAAATAACTGACAGTATTCCTGCCACTGATTTTAATAGCAATCGTGACGCATACTCCGAGCAAGTTCTGAGTTCACTTCAAACCGGAGAGCAGAGCCACGTTTGTGAAAGAATCTTAGAGAAGTCTTCATATGAAACTGTAAGGCCCAAAACAAAGCGATAATAAGGAAATCAAACAACTCTGCGACGGGATCTCAATGGCTGCAAAAAAGCTATCATGGCACATGTCGCTTGAAAGCACACACACCACCCAAGTAGAACTTAAACTTCAGTACCCTGAAGATGGTTCAATAGTATTGAAATATAGCAAGTTCAATCTTGTCCGGGCTTTTGCCAGGGAAATGGAATCGAATTCCAATTTCCTGGGCTCAAGCACACACGGACACACACACACATCCTTACTTCAATCTGCTCTAAAGGAGGAAACATGACAGATGTTTATTAGGCAAAAAAGCTTTTTTGAGGCTGCCATTTGGTTTGGAACTCTTATTTGGGAACTGTCTCTGTCTGGAAAGCCTCCTGATGGACTTCGATTTTTCTGGCTCTGGCCTGGACTGTCATTTCATTCTGGAACGTAACCTTCAATATTTATAGACTCCTGCCCTCTCTTTCAAAGCTAACACCAGCCTTCTTGGAACTGCAGATGCCTCATTACCTGGGGAACTGAGACATAGCCCTGCTAGGCAAGTTTTTAGCATCCCTGGATCTGTAGCCAAAGAAATCAAACTTCAACCGAAGTAAGAAGAAAACAGCCACACAAAATTAAAGACTAAAATCTTTCTTGTGATATAAGCTTCTTTCTAGAAGAATCTCATGTTTAGAAAAACTGGCCTGTTTGAAGTATGCACATTGTTCATTAAGGCACAGAGTATTCGCCATAATAACAACTTTTTAAAAAACAGAATGCAAAGAATGTACCTACTTGGAGGTCTAGATTTAGCTGCAAGCACAATTGTATATAGTTCTGTTTGCCAAAGGCTTCACTGTACTGTGTTTGTCCTCGCGATCACCCTGTGGCTTAAGTTGCCAATGTTCCCATTTTTGTAGATAGAAAAGCAGAGGCATCACCTTGCCCAAAGCCACACCCTGTGATCACAGCAAAGGTGGGACAAACTCCACCTCTGCACCCAAGGCAAACGCTTTGTCCACCGGAGAATAGTGATTCGCTGAGGAATTTTGTAATGCGAAAAGAAAGCGAGGCTGTACGGGTGACTACGTACAGAGCTAGCAGTTCTGAAACTGTCAAGAATTATGAGATGTGCCAAAGGGGATTAAACTATGATAACCTTACTAATCAACAATTCTTACAAGTTCATTTTGCAGTTTTATGTATTTTTAAATGAACAGTGGAATACATATAGCCTGTGAAAATTATAAATAAATTTCATAGAAAACTACAATCTTTGTTTCTTCTTGTATAAAAATCCAAAGATTTGAAAAATTCATCAAGAGGAACTTATATGCATCACATGGGAAGGAGAAGAAGATGCATTCCACACCTCATTAGTGTATTCTAATTAGAAGAACGTCAGGTCCTGCTGACACGGAAGCCAGCATCAAGCTGTGTTTCAAAGATTTTTTTCTAAGCAAGATCACCATGGTTTAATTCCACTTGGCACATATGTTTCTGTGATTCTCTTTGTTTGTTTTAAGAATTATGAGATGCCTGCTGCCAAACCGTCAGATGAAGCCCTTAACACACAACACATAAGACACAACACATAAGACATCCTATTGAAAAAAATATTACATGAGTCTTGAGGATCCAACTCAAAATTCCTGCTTCTTCTAAGTCAAATTTATTATATTCCTACTTGTGCTTCTGCCTCCACAGGATCTCGTGTGACCAATTTCTGGGCGCTATATTATAGAAGAATGAAACAGCTAGGTATTGGGCATGAGTCCATTTAAGTTTCAACTTGCGCAGTGCTCAATCCAAGCCTTTGTCAATTCTTTATTTACGTTATTTGTATCCCACCCTTTTCCTCAATAGGGACTCAAAGTAGCTTACATCGTTCTTGTCTCCTGTTTTATCCTCACAACAGCCCTGTGAGGTAGGTTAGGCTCAGTGTGTGTGACTGGCCCAAGGTCACCCAGCAAGCCCCTGTGGCAGAGTGGGGATTTGAACCTGGATTCCCCATACCCTAGTCTAGGGGTCCCCAACCACTTTGAGACTGCAGGCACATTTGGAATTCGGGCATTGCATAGCAGATGCAGCAGCAAGATGGCCGCTGCAAAATGGCTGCCGCAGGAGGCGGAGCCAGCCACAAAATAATGGCCACTGCTTCACTTCAGCAACACAGTGCAGATCCTTGTGCTGTGGTGGCAGCTGCTGCCAAAAGAACATTTTACAAGATCTGTACAGCCAATCAAATCTCCAATACCCAATCAGAAGCCTTGCTGGGCAAAAGCCCTATCTGCCCCCCTCCCCACAACTCTTGGCGGCCACCAGAAAATATGTTGGCAGGTGCATTATGCCCACGGACACCATGTTGGGGACTCCAACACTCCAGCCATTCTGGCCCTTTTAGTGGATTCAGTCTGCTCGGAAGCCGTGAACGGAACGGGAGCTTTGACTAGAAGGGTGCATCTTGTTTTCAGGTTGCAGGTGCATCACAGCAGAGCCCATCTCAGAAAAGCACCCCTTCCTGTCTGAGAAAGAAGGGGGAATGCCCATCTCAGACTGGCCCCTGCCACCTGCAGTTTTTACACGTATGTATATTACGCGCTGCTCACTTAGGCCTGTTTTACGGCCCAAATCCCAAGTGACGCAATCGTTGGGCCTTACCTAACCTGAGCTCTCCGAAATTGCCGCAGCCTATCTTCTTGCCAACTCGGAAATTGGGACCGACCATGAGGACGCCAGAGGCCGACGAGGAACTTGACGCTCGGGAGCTGTGGGAGCTTCTCCCAGGATTGCCTTTCCCTGTTCTTTGCCTTTCATCTTTCTCCCTAGGAAAATGGTCCATGATCTTAAAATAAAGTTATCTGCCAGCGACCGGGATTTGGACTGTGCACTTTTATTCTTGAAGAGAGAAATAAATATCCTGAAGAACCATTGGGTCAAACTATAGAATCTTTTGGAGATCTTTTGGCATCGTGTCCACAGAATATTCGACGGGCAGTTCCAGATTCCTCCAAGAGGTAGAAGAGAAGGAGGGAGAAAAAATCTTATACAACCTAGAGAGAGAGAGAAAGAGAGGGCAACTATAAGAGCAAAATCCTATTTATAAAAGAACACGCTGCTCCCTAAAATAGGAATGACTGTGATTTCAGTTTTCCAACAGATTGATGGCTTCAGATGTAACCCTTTGCATTCTGGGAGCAGCACGAACATGCAGGGTGCCACCATTCCCAACTGGACCCTTCCCCGCCCATCCAGTGACAGCTTCAGTCCTGCCATTTCCCACAGCTTCAGCCTCGGGATGTTTGGTTCCCATCTCAAAGAGCTTCAAAAAAAGAAACGTGAAAGAAAAAGTTACATTCATCACGACAGAAGATTGCGACCTTGTAGCACGTTAAAGATCGTTTTATATTTGCTTCTCTGTACCATACGCTAACAGGCTATGCACATGTAATCGGCGGGACATAGAGAGCCTTGAACACTTTTTTTTTTTTTGCACTGTACTTATCTTGCTATATGTTCCACACTTATTGATCTCTTGTTGAGAGAGCAAGCAGGGAAATCTGATGAATGCAAAATTATTTTGTTATTATCTACTCGGAATCAAATTGTTATTGAAAATGTGGCCAAATCTGTGTACCTTGCAGCTAGGAAGAGAGCAATGTCTCAGCAGACAGGGCCTTGACTGTTCAGACTGTTTCCTCCCCGTTATAATTTGGTTGTTATGCCAATAAAGGTTGTTTTGTTTGTTTCTCTGTAAAGGGAACGTTACATTTCATTCCTGAAGGAAAACCAAGTGGCAAGCCAATCTGGATACCCTTCGAGAAATGACTGCTAGTTCCTGGGTGTGAGGTTTCATGCACTTCTGGCCTCCTGGTCATTTCATTCCCTTTATTAATGAACTTTCTTTATAACCTGCCTTCTCCCCCAATAGAGACTCAAAGGGGCTCAACACTGCTCTCCCTTCCTCCATTTTATCCTCACAACAACCCTGTGAGGAAGGTCAGGTTATGCATGTCGATGCCATTCATCACAGAGAAAAAGGATTTAGAACCCGAGGGATTAAAGGGCTGGGAGGGGGGGCAGCTCTGGTCACCAGCCCAGCTTTGGTTTGGTGGAGTGCGAAGAATGCCCTGGAGACTGGATATGGTATCAAGACTGGATATAGCTGTCCTTATTAGCAATAATCTTCAGGGATGCTGAACAGCTTTAATAAAAGGATGCATAAATTCTACAAGCAACAGCTAGAAGGAAGGGAATCCCCAGATCATCTTCTATAGGTAATGCTAAGGAAGTCTGTGGGAAAAACAGGGGTAGTTCTAGTTCCCCCTGCCCCAGAGAATCTTTAATATCCATTCACCACAACCTGTTGCACACAACAGTTCAAGTTTAGATGCTCAAAAGGTTTAGGGGGGGGGAAACTAGCTTAACTATTGATTCAGGTTCATTCAGCTTGCAAAAATCGGTTGACGCTTGACTATCCAACCCACATCTGGGTCTCTCTCGGCCCTGTGAAGGAAATGTGTTGGGATTCTTATTAAGTAAGTCAGCAGAGTAAGTATTAAGAGACTGAGTCCATGGTGTGTTTAAAATATAAAAGTTTACTATAAACCTAACATGGAAAAAGGTACACAGGAATATGAAAATAACAAAGAGCTAAAATGCCTACATCCTTACAGCTAAAGGTAAAAGGCAGGAAGAATGGAGTCTCCTTCTTCAGTCAGAACAAAAGACAGGAAGGAGAAGCCAATATGCTAAATACTTGACACATTGGTTTCCAATCAGACTAGCAAGTTAGCTCCAAAGTTCCCGGGCATTCTATTGTCTAAACAGATTGGTTACAAACAAACATGTGACTTCCCGTTGATCATAACAAACATCATTAACCCTGTAAATACTGAAGTGTTTTGACTTGTAACACCCAACAAAATGGCAGCCTTGTGGGTCTCATCTGGAAGGAACACTGCACATATCAGGCAGTGGAGAGACCTGCGCACGTTCCAATAGGGGTAAGCCCACACAGGAGGCACAGACAAATTATTTAAGGCAATGAATAACGCAGGACGGACCTCGGGGGCAACAATGATTTGTTTTTATTTAGGAAACAAAGTAAAACCAGAGAAGGTATTCTACAGATGTGGGAAGGTCTGTGACTAGATTTTTCTGGAGTTAATGGGGTTGCCTGCTCTGGATTGGGAAATTCCTGGAGGTTTGAGGGGGAGAGCAGGGAGGGCAGGGTTTCGAAAGTGACCTCAGCATGGAATAATGCCATAAAGTCTGCCTTCCAAAGCAGCCATTTCCTCCCAGGGAACTGACCTCTGTCATCTGGAGACCATTGGTAATTCCGATGGATCTCCAGGCCCCACTTGAAGGTTAGCAACCCTAACAGTACACAATAATGTTATTTAGAGCAACCTTATTTTGTTGATGGCAACTGAAACAAGCCCTATGGAGGAAAGGCTGAGGGACTTGGGAATGTGCAGTCTGGAGAAGAGGAGGTTGAGGGGGGACAGGATTGCTCTCTTGAAGTCTTTGAAGGGCTGTCGCTTAGAGGAGGGCAGAGAATGCTGTTCCTGTTGGCAGCAGAGGAGAGGACTCGCAATCATGGGTTTACATTAAGGGCAGGAAGGTACCGCCTGGATATTAGGGGAAAACGTTTTTTTACAGTCAGAGTTGTGCAACAGAGGAATCGGCTGCCGAGGGAGGTGGCGAGCTCCCCCTCCCTGGCAGTCTTCAAGCAGCGGCTGGACAAGCACTTGTCATGGGTGCTCTAGGCTGATTCTGCATTGAGCAGGGGGCCGGACTAGATGGGCCTGCATGGCCCCTTCCAGCTCTGGGATTCTATGATCCTACGATAAGCCCCTGTCCCACCCGATCTACTACCTCTTTTAGGGTGGCCAAACTCCACTTGAGGCCTAAAGGTCTCATGGAATTACAATTAATCTCCAGACTACAGAGATCAAGTCCCCTGGAGAAAATGGATGCTTTGGAGGGTGGACTCTATGGCATTACACTCCACTGAGGTCCCTCCCCAGGTGCCATCCCCAAATCTCCAGGAATTTCCCAACCCGGAGCTGGCGACCCTTTGGGCCCTGACTTATGGCTCACCTCATTACTTGGACATACCTGGCCCACAGTATAGTCACAAGAGCATGTTGCTGTTTAGCCCGACAAAAACCTTACGTGGTTTGGAACATAATCTTCAGGAAAGCCTAATTGGCTAGCTGGGTGCCGAGGGGCCGCATCACCTTGGAATGCGCGAGACTCATGGAACCTGGCCAGCTGTGAGAACACAATGCAGGGCCAGCGTGCTCAGGAGACCACAGCCGGGAGGATGGAGAGTCAACTTCACAATGGACAATGCAGCCAGTTGCTGGGCTTTGGCCAGTTAGAACCGTAAGTAGGGACAGACCAACCTAGAAAGCCTTCGGAATTTTCTTGTTTAAAAAACAAACGAATGCAGGATTATTATATATAAATTACATGTATTATAATCTGAGAAAATCCCCTTTACAGAAAGGGATAAGAAACCAGGCCAGCGTGCAGAAGAAGGTGACGGACACCGCTCAAACTTATTTCATTTATTCTCCACTTTTCTCCCCAATGGGGGACCCAAAGCGATGGACAAAATTAGCTACTCCTCCATTTTACGCTCACAATCACCCGCTGAGGTAGGATAGGTTGAGAGAGCATAACTGGCCCAAGGTCACCCAGCAAGCTCCTGTGGCAGAAGGGGTTCAAAAATGCCTACAGCCTGGTTAATTCGGCTTCCTTGAATCCTCCTGCACTGAAACACCCTAACTGGGGGAAGGAAGGCGTTCCACTTAGTCCCACTTAGTCAGTGTTTTCAGATATGAACATACCAAGAGTCACCTTGGTAGCGAAGGCACCTTTTCCGGCCCACACAAAGGCTTCAGTCTACCCGAGAGCACTAAAGGCAGCCCAGTCCTATGTGAGTTTGTTCACAGGTGAGTCACAATACACCTTCCAGGCAAGTCAAAGCCCTGTGGGGACAAGCTTGGCTCAACAAGTCAAGGTCGTGTACACTTGGAAGATTTGATTCCAAGGACAATGTCTGACATTTTCACCGTCTGGTGCCTAACAGTGATTCTGGTGAAAAGAAACAGACCCCCCCCCGGGGGGGGCTGCAGAAGTTAAATATCCCAAAGCCATGCGTGTTCTAGTCGAGGTGTAACATTCGCTTTTCTCCAGGACATTGAAGAATTCCTGTAAAGCAGTGTAAGCTTACTTTTTAACAGGGGTCCCCAACCTTTTTGAGCCTGTAGGTACCTTTGGAATTCTGACACAGCATGGTGGGTGCAGCCACAAATGCAGAACCAGCCACTAAATGATTGCCACAGCTTACCTTTATTCGTAAAGTGAAAATCCTTATGCTGCAGTGGCAGCTGCTGCCCCTGAAGCAACTTTTTAACAGATCTGCACAGCCAACTAGAAGCCTTGCCAGAGAAAAGCCCCACCTGGCCCGGCCCACTTTCTAAAAACACTTAGCGGGCGCCAGGTAAGGTGTCAGCAGGCACCGTGACACCCATGGGCACCGTGTTGGGGATCCATGATTTTTACTGCCAGAACTTGGGCCAGTGGGGGGGCCTGCCTGGAGTTTTCAATACCCTAGGCACTTTAAGGGATTCTACAAACCCATACCATTTTACTGCGAGTATTCATTTCCCTGTTTGGGATACATTTTCCATAAGCCACATCTACACAAACATTTTAATAAGACAAATACGCATCCTCCGCTTCAGCAATAAGCGCGGGAGCCTCGGTAACATGCCAGTTAAGTTTCAGAAGCTGCACGCGCGAGGCCTCCGAGACAGCACCCGGTACTCGGGCAACCCTGAACAAAGCAAAGGAACAGCTGGGCGATAAGGTTATCTACATTTAAAAGCTCATTTAAAATCCAACCGAAACTCAAAGGAAGGGGAAGTCGGTCGGCTTGAAGGAAATGAGCATGTATGGGCCTTGTTACCTGCAACTGCAATGCAGCCAGCCCACCCCAAGCAGGTCAACTGATCAGAAGATGGCTCAGTGTACATTGGAGGACTCAGTTGGCCACAAGCCCTTTTCAGTTAAGCTGAATCATCCGTGGAGGGGAGGGTTTAGCCGATGTTCCTGAGCACCATAAAAAGAACACTTTACTGCAACAGTACTTTCTAGACAACCCATGGGTGTCTAGTGGCGGCACAACAGCTTGCAGGCCAGATTACTGTGACTACTGATGTGGCATGCCAATCATATCAAGCCCAGAGAGTTTTTGCTGTATGTTTAACTGGCACGTAAATATGAAAACTGATAAAACACTGTACTAGAAGGGCTCCGTCCTTGTTCTCGGCACTGACAGTCCATATGGCTTCTGGTTTACACGATACTTGGGTCACAGCTGAGCTGACTTATGGCTACTACAAAGGATTTTCAAGGCAAGAGACCTTTAGAGGTGGTTTGCCGTTGCCTGCCTCCACGTCGTGACCCTGGTATTCCCTGGAGGTCTCCCATCTGAATACTAGCTTAGCTTCCGAGATCTGCTTAGCTTCCGAGATCTGATGAGACTGGGCTAGCCACAATGCTATTACACAACACTATGCTGATTTAACACTCACTCTAGGCTAACCTTGTGCATTGCTCAACATAAAACAGCTGTTCTAGACACCCAGAGACAGTACGGAGTGACGCAATGCACTGACTGGTCAGACAGCCACAATGCCAGCGTGCCTACAAGTGGAAGAGTCTCAAAACATGAAGAGAGGCCCTCATGATGGCCCAGGCAAGCCCAATCTTGTCAGATCTTGAAGCTAAGCAGGGCTGACCCTGGCAAGTACTTGGAAAGGTGACTTCCAAGGAATACCAGGGCTGGGATGCAGAGACAGTTAATACCAAGCCACCTTTCCGAAACATCCTAGCCCCACAAGGGGTCACCAGAAGTCACCATGGCTTTCAGGCTTGCAAGCACATACACACACAGACACAAACACAGAAAACATGGGGAGGGGCATGATCAGGGTTTTTGTAACAAGGACACTGCATGGACGGAGCATAAGAAGTCATGTGAATTCTACTAGGACATGGGAGTTTCCTTCGGAAAGCACACAACAAGCCGTCCGAAAGGGTGGAGGGGTGCTGACCGCTTCCCAACCTGAAGAGAGCAAAAACCATGATCACCTGGCACTGACCGCCCCCCCCAAAAAACGACTCCATCTATTTTGAATAAATCTGCATAGTTTAACCACCTATTTGCAGATCAGTCACCAGCCGAAGGTGGTTGCCATGGAAGCGGTTCACAGTTGTGCCCACGCATCAGCGCTGAGAAGCTAAACAAGTAGGTGGCAGCAGGAAGAGTTGAACCCGGAGAGCGCCGAGGAGCTGCAGGGAGATCATTCGCCTGCCTCGAGTTCTTCGGCGCGGATACACCATGCTGGTCGGGAACGCACGCACTTCAGATTTGCGCTTTTGTTCTGGTTGTGAAGATACGTTTTCCACGGAGATACACATTCTCCAATGTGTAACCCTGGTTAGCGAGCTGGGCCCTTCTGTGGTTAAACCCTCATGACCACACAAGGTAAAAGGAGCTGGACCTAGATAGAAAGACTAACAACGCCTTGCTCCAAACACTTTTCGGATATGCAGAAGCATAACCCTTTCCATAAAAACTGAAGCTTCAAATACTTAAGTTGGCTTTATTACTCACTCCCCAAAATTCTCAAGACAGCTAGCAAAACACACAGGGAGTAAACAGAACACACAGAACTGAAGATAGAAAACACCTATCCCATTATCCACATAAAGCCAGTTTGGTGTAGTGGTCAAGAGCAGCAGGTCACTAACCTGGAGAACCGGGTTTGATTCCCCACTCCTCCACCTGCAGCCAGCTGGGTAACCTTGGGCCAATCACGGTGCTTTCACTCTCAGCCCCACCTCCCTCACAGGGTGTCTGTTGTGAGGAGAGGAAGGGAAAGGAGACTGTAAGCCGCTCTGAGACTCTGAGTGAAGGACAGGGTGTAAATCCAACTCTTCTTCTAAACGGGGAAACCAACTGAAGTGATTTTAGCTAGATTCGAGTCCAGAAGCACCTTGAAGACCAATAAGGTTTTTGAGGTATAAGCTTTTGAGAGTCAACGGCATCTGACGAAGGGAACTTTGACTCTTGAAAGCTTTTACCCTAAAAATCTCATTGGCCTCTACGGTGCTGCTGGACTCGAATCCAGCTCTTCTTCAGCAGACCAACACAGCTGCCCTCTGAAACAACAGTGATTTCAGTTTCTCTATAAGCTCTCATAATTAAAGGGCATTATGCCCCCCTCCACAAAGGCTGCACAGGGGTTTCCCAAGACGCACAGTCCCAACGAATGGGCTTCCCAAGACTATCAGTCCACATAGCAACGGCTCTCCTGTGCTTTCTTCCTTTTTCAGCAGGGCTTCTGCAGCTAACCTCAAGATATACCAGGGAGCCCTGACCTGGATAGCCCTGGCAAGCCCGATCTTGTCAGATCTCGGAAGCTAAGCAGGACCGACCATGGCAAGTGTTTAGATGGGGGGCTTCCAAGGAATACCAGGGCTGGGAGGCAGAGGCAGGCAATCAAGCCACCTCTCTGAAAGTCCTCCATGCCCCAGCAGGAGTTGCCAGAGGTCACCATGACTTCCAGGCATGGACACCCACATCCACACACAAAAATGCAAACGTACCACAAAAAAAAAAGATATACCAGTTACAGCTTTAAAAAAAAGCACCATTGCCTGGAATTGGGCCTTCAAGGTAATAGGTAGCCAGTGCAGCTGCCTGATTGATTCCTTCTCAGCAACAGTACTGTATGACGGTAAGTTATACACACACACCCGGGGGTGGAGAGACCGGTGTTCAATCCCCACTCAGTCATGGCTGCTGGGTGACCCTGGGCAAGTCCATGGTCTCTGAGCCCAGCTTACCTCACAGGGTTGTTGTGAAGATCTATTGGAGAAGGGGGGAATTATTCATGCTGCCTTGAGTTGCTGGAAGGAAGGGATTGTCAGCTAGCATCAGGGCATGGTGCAGCATTTTTGCACCAACTGCGTCTTCCAGTCTGTTTTCAAGGGCAGCCCCTGGGAAAGAACAACGCAGAAGTCAATCCTAGGAGGCTACAAAAGCACGCGTGATGAACCAGGCATTAACTTATCAAGTAAACAAAGCTGGCCAAACATGCTTCTGGACACAGACACCATCCAAGATACAAACTGCAGTAGCCACTTCTGGAGCACCCCTATCCCACGCTGGGGTGGGCAGCCCCCTGTCAAGGGAAAGCAAGCCAGTACCTGGATAGTTTCAGATTGATGGTCGTCATATCCTAGAACATATCTCCTGGGTACCCATGCAAGACTGGGACCATTACTCCCCTGCTGCTTGGGGAAGTCGCCACCTTGGTGACCCTGAAGTCCGTACATTCTCGCTGATTGCACACTGAAGCGGAACCTCAAGAACGGCAACACTAAAACTCGCCAGACTCCGTAATTTCTGAGACTGCCGCTACAATCCGCAACACAATGTTGGTGGCTGGAAGTGAAATACTTCGGTGGCTGGAAGTGAAATACTTCGGTCTAGCTCCTGTGCTGTGTATCTGAGGCCACCAATATCTCCAGAAGGGCAAGGAGATTCCAGCTGCAGACCATTTGTTCAGATGGGCGAGCGTAAAGCAGTCTTGGATCCAAACCGAGTCCCCAGATTCAACTGGTACAGACTGAGGAAGTATTCTAGAATGTCAGGGCAAAGAGCTATAGCTCGAGTTTACAGTAAGTTATGAACCCAACATGCAAAAAAAAATAATCAATAATAACATACCTTACGCTGCAATCTTTATGGCATGTAATTACATTCCACATGGCGAGTATTCGCTTAAACGTGCAAACACACCAAGCTGTTACTTATTTTTCATGACTGCTTTTGCATATAAAGTTTGAGAATGAGTAGAAATCGTTTTGGCCCCAAGACCTCTAACCACACACTCTTCTAGATAAAACTGTGGCTCACATTCCATACCCAGCTCCACACCAGTGGACCAGGGTCTTGCAGATTTAAAAACTGAGAACAGGTTGAGATTGTTTTGCCTCCAAGAAGGCTTGTGTATACACAGTCAAGCTTTGTATCTGAAATGCACAAGCATCAGTATACCAACAGATGGAAGACCATAGTATAGATCTGCGGTACCAAACAGGAAGCTGCCGTGTATGATAAGTGAGGAGCGATAGAGTACATACACAGCAGTTACACACAGGAATTAAAATATCTTCTGGGGACATCACATGGTTCTTTTTGCTCATAAATTTCAGTTTCATAATTTAGATCCAAGATAAGCCAGTGCATCTGTACACCACTCAGTGCTACCTATAGGATTCCATGAGTTGCTACTGACATATAAACGTGCTGTTAATTATTTCTTAGATATTATACTGTTAAAATAATGTAGTACTGAAGCACAAGCTCCTCAGATAAGCTTGGAGCAAAGTTCACAACTGAAGAAAGCTTCAAAGAGTGCCAAAGCCATTTATCATGTTCAGCTTCCAAGAACTGCTTCCCCCCCCACAACTGTCCAACCCTGAACGTGCCTTTGGCAATAGATCCTGTGACAGACCTACTTCCAAGTTTATTTGTGCTTAACATAGCAGCCACTCAAACAGTATTGCAAATAAATATAATTTTAATGTGCCAGACACACGTTTCGGTGTCTATGCATGCCAGGTGCAGTTTGAATATGCAATAGCATCAGCTGTGTAGTGCAGTGGTTAGAGTGTGGGACTGAGATGGGGAAAGAGGCAAGTTCCCATGGCTAGCCCCCCAGTCTTTCAACCTAACATGCCCCAGAAGGGTGCTGTGAAAATGCCCAGAGTGGTGGAGAGAGAAAAGAAACTGTGTACAACAAAACCTCTTTCTTAGTATGTCCAGGTCCCTTGACCCCGCAGGAGCAATAAAAGGCAGGACATGGGGAGCTCAACATGCCAGATGTGCAACAGAATTCAAGCCTCAGCTCCGCACAGTAATAAAAACTGCTGTGTATTACGAACTGAATCATCAAAGCTCACCGTTGAAAAACAACACAGTCAAGAGGCCAACGGCAAAGAGGAAGTGGGGGAAAACCTCCGAGCTCCTTTGGTGTAGTGACATCCTTAATTGTTCAGCTTAGCTTCTGACAAGAACAGGCAGAGGCTATATCTATATTACAAGTACAAACGGGCTAAAAAGAGTGTTCTCTTTCAGACTTTAAGAGGGTAGAGGGTATCCTGCACATACACAAACTGAAAGTCAACAACAGGCTTAACGCAAACAGAGGAATCCTCCCCCCACCGCATTTGCATTCAGTAGCACCTTAAAGATCAACAAAATTTTACTGGGTATACATTCAGGAACCAAAGCTCGCTTTGTCAGATATGATGTATTGCAATGGTCTCTGAGGTGCTACTTTTGTTCTACTATTAGAGGCTAACGGCTGACACTATACTACACATAAACAGCCTGTGGAACTTCGTGCCACACAACATACAACACGAGCAGCATTGCCAGATTTAGCTGCGGGGACCACAGTTGGCTAATAACCCTCCCTGACAGACAGGAGTACAGTTTCTATTTGGGAACTATTTTCCAAATCACTGAGCCGTAATTCAGTGGCAGAACACCAGCTTGGCAGGCATAAGGTCCCAGGCTCAATCTTCAGCTAAAAAGACCAGACAGCAGGAGACGCCAAGAACCTTAACCTAACACTGCAGAGAGCGGCTGCCAGCCAGAGCGGGCAATGATGACCTGACTCAGCCAGCATGGTGTAGAGGCTAGAGTGTCTAATGCAGTTCCACAGGGTCTGTAAGGCAGAGATGTTCCGCCAGGCTTTTGGTTGAAGACAGCAATGGTTTTCCACCATAGCTGGCAGCCTCCTATTTTCTCCCATCTTACCCGCTTCAGCCTCCTCCTTAACCTGCCTGTGAGACGGAAGAACAGTCCAGAGTGGGTTTTAGATTAATTACGGACACCACCTGTTGACTACTAAATTGGGATTGACTGACTGTTGATTTTAAGGTCTTAATGTTCTTAATAATGTTATGATGATGCTTTTAATCTGTTGTAAATCGCCCAGAGCCCTGTACACTCAGGGACTGGGTGATCCAGAAATTTAAAGCATACATAAATAAACTATGACCAGGTTTGAATCCGCACTCTGCCAGGGTGACCTTGCCCTAGTCATATGCTGTCAGCCTAACCTACTTCACAGGGCTGTTGTGAGGATGTGGCAAGAGTGTGGTCGCAGCGCTAGTGGTGTGCACCCGGGGGGGGGGGAGAATGGGGTATAAATAAAGTAAATAATATTAAGAACATAAGAGAAACCAATGTTGGATCAGGCCAATGGCCCATCCAGTCCAACACTCTGTGTCACACAGTGGCCCAAACTACTAGGTGCCATCAGGAGGTCCAGCAGTGGGGCCAGGACACCAGAAGCCCCCACACACACTGTTGCCCCCCCCCCAAGCACCAAGAATACAGTGCATCACTTGCCCCAGACTCAGAGCTCCTATCTATACCCTGTAACTAATAGCCACTGATGGACCTCTGCTCCACATGCTTATCTAATTCCCTCTTGAAGCTGTCCATGCTTGTAGCCGCCGCCACCTCCTGTGGCAGTGAATCTCATGTCTTAATCACTCTTTGGGTGAAGAAGGACTTCCTTTTATCCCTTCTAACCTGACTGCTCGGAAATTTCATTGACTGCACTTCCTAGTACACTGGAGAGTCGGTACCTTATACGCAGCAGCTGGCCAGCTTCTGAAGGCTGAAACACACACAAGCCTGGCCCTAACCTACTTCACAGGGCCGTTGTGAGGATAAAACAGCAAAAGGAAGTTGCAGCCTACTATGGGTGCAGCCCAGGAGGAAGAAACGGAGCATAAATAAAGTAATTAGACAATATTAAGGAAAGCCCTAGTATATTATACAGTAAATAAACAACGTTAAGGCACCCCCTAGTATACTGGAGGGCCAGTACATTATCCTCAGCAGCTGCCCAGTGTCTGCGGGACTGAAGGCTGAAACGCACGCAAGCCTGGCCCTGATCCCCCCCCTCCTCCCCTTCGCCCACCCCCTTGACAAGCGCCTGGCGCCAAGGAACCCAGCGGGGGGCTCTTTGTCTCCGCCCGCTCTTTTATGGCCGCGGCAGCAAAAGGCCGAAAGAAGGGCCGCCAGGGCCGGAGGAGAGGGAGTCGGAGGGGAGGAAAGGCGGGAGCCCAACTTACTTGCCAGCTCGCGTCCCCCCCGGTCAGCGGCGCGTCCTCCGCCACTCGCGGCTTCCCGGCGCTTTCCCGGCGCGCCTCGATCGGGGGCCTCGGGAGTGGGTCGCCACGGGGAGCGAGTCCGCGAAGAGCTGCAGGCCGCCCGCGGGACACCGGGGCGCGGGCTCGTGCATGGCTGGGGGGCTGCGGGGTCGTGCATGGCTGGGGGGCTGGGGGGGGGTCGGGCGGGAGGGGGCCGGTTTGGAGGTGGGGAGGGAGCGAAAGGGAGGCGGTTTTTAAATTCTTCCTTCCTCTTCTCCGCTTGCCCGCGCGGGGACGGCAACAACACGCGTGTTCTCCCTTCACACGAACACAAAAGCGAGGCGGCGGCTCAGAGGATGGCGCGATCGCCGTCTCGTCGTCCTCCCTCGAGGCGCGGCCCCCATCGACGGCGACCGTTAACGGCAGAAGACTTCGCCTCTGAGGCGGCGGCCACGACGGCCGTTCGGAGCAAGGGCCGCTTCTCCCGGCAGGGACGTGCTGGGGGCGCGAACCCCCCTCTGCGATCGCGCTCTGAGGGGAGGAATAGGGAAGAAAAAGGGAGGAGGGGAAGAGCAGCCCGGAAGCGCTTCCTGCGGGCACGCCCCCTCGGCAGACGGCGTCCTATAGAACGTCCGCCTGCTGGTCCTCGGCTCCGTCACGAGAGCGCTTCCGGGTTAGGGCCGCCACGAAGGCGCCCTAGCAACCGCGTTCGGTTGCTAGGCGGAAGTGTGTTCGTTGAAGGGGGTAGGCGTGCGGGAGGGTCATGTGGTGCGACAGAGGCGGGCGGCGGTGGGGGGTGTTAGGCGTGAGTCTTCTGTTGCAGTGGCGGCTCCGTGGAACAATAGAGGGTGGAGAAGGGAATGGTGCAGGCGATGGTGAGAAATGCATGCAGGGCAATTAAAGCTCCATTTGGTTAATGGCATTACTGGGTTTTAGACCTCATTAACCAAAAAAAAAAAAAATGCTTTCGGGCTCCCTGTTGCATTCGAGAGAGGCTAAGGCGTGCCATTAGACCCAAAGCAATATTAGACAAGCTTTCCAAAGTCTGGTGCAACTCACTCAAAAAACTGACTGGGTTTTGTATCAGCATAAGCTTTCCAAACACACACTCCAGCCCACATACAATGGGGAAGAAGGGCTGCTTGTGAAGTGAGCCTGTTAACAAGGAGTTGTACTCCAGGTACCCAACTTGCGCAAATGGCTTTCAGGGTATGGTTGCCAGCCTCCAGGTGGCACCTGGAAATCTCCCGTGATACATTTTATCTTCACCTTAACAACATAATGATAATAAGCTTTCATGAGTCACTGCTCACTTCTTCAGATATCTAAGGAATTAATTATTGTATGGCAGTGGCGCAGTGTTCCCTCTAAGCTGAGTTAGTGTGAGCTAGCCCAGTTTTTTAGCCTCTGGCTCCACATTTTTGTCTTAGCTCAGGAAGGAGGGCTCCAGAGCAAATTAATTTATGCAGTAGCCAAATTGCTTGCTCACAACTTTAATGCCAGTAGCTCACAAAGTAGAATTTTCAGTTCAGTTCAGTTACACAGTTGAGTCTGACTCTTCGTAACCCCATGGACCAGATCATGCCAGGCCTTCCGCCGTCCTCTGAAGTTTGCTCAACTTCATGTTCGTTGCATCGATAACACTGTCTAACCATCTCATCCTTTGCCATCCCTTTCTTCTTTGACCTTCAATCTTTCCCAGCATCAGTGTCTTCTCCAGTGAGTGCTCCCTTCTCATTTGGTGGCCAAACTATTTGAGCTTCAGTTTTATTATCTGGCCTTCCAGGGAACAGTCAGGGTTGATTTCTCTTAGGATTGATTGATTTGATCCTCTTGCAGTCCAAGGGACTTCTCAAGAGTCTTCTCCAGCACCATAGTTCAAAATAATCTATTCTTCGGCGCTCGGCCTTCCTCATCGTACAACTCTCACAGCCATATAGTACTACTGGGAATACCATTGTTTTGACCATACAGATTTTGGTTGGCAGGGTGATGTCTCTACTTTTTATTATGCTGTCAAGGTTTGCCATCGCTTTCCTCCCAAGGAGCAGGCCTCTTTTAATTTCATGGCTGCAGTCACCGTCTGCAGTGATTTCGGATCCCAGGAACGTGAAGTCTGTCACTGTTTCCACGACTTCTCCTTCTATTTGCCAAGGAGTGATGGGGCCGGATACCATGATCTTAGTTTTTTTGATGTTGAGTTTCAAGCCAACCTTTGCGCTCTCCTCTTTTACCCTGAGCAAGAGATTCTTTAGGTCCTCTTCACTTTCTGCCATTAGAGTGGTATTGTCTGCATATCTGAGGTTGTAGCACAAGCTTAATCCCTGGGCAACTGTCATCCTGA